CGAACAGCCGGCGCAGACTGTGGTGACGTCACCGTGCCGCAGATGCAGGGGCTTCCGACCTTTTTTTTTATTAGGACATACCAAGATGTAGCCCCGTGACATGGGTAATGGGGGGCTTCAGAGCGTAATCCGAACCGACAGAGAGTCTGTGGAAATAACAAAGCTTCCAAGCCAGAGACAACTGAGGGTCAAACATCTTTAAAGTAACAAAGATGGGAGAATTTCAAAGTGAAACTGCATCAGAGGTAGTCCATTGCGGCTGCAGGGGCGTAAGGAATATGTAGAAGAAGGCAAAACATGTTTAGGAGCAAATAAGAGGGATTTATTGATGGCAAGGGAAGGTTGGAAAAGCAAAGGCAGTTTTTGTTTCCTGGCCTTAAGAGAATACATCAACAGATGCCTGGAACCAGTAAATTTCCCTAGGGAAGAAAAGCTACTGAAAAAAAATGAGAAAAGAAGATTGCTTTATGTCAGGTGAGGCAAAAAACGAGTGTAGCTGATGAGAACACGAGTTCCCAATCTGTTGGGACCCAGTGATTGAATTTTAGCAATTGTCTAGGATGTTATACTGCAGCCAAAGAGAAGAGGTTTGCCTCGGCGTCTTGTTGGTTTGTAAATAAAGCACGAATAGAGAAACATTGAGTCTTAAAGCTAGAAAAGGGCTTTGTAATAATTTTTCACATGAGCAAACTGAGACCTGACCAAAAGAGATAAGTGGTTTGCTCAAAGTCTCCAAGTCAGATAATGGCCATGCTGGGAAAGGACTCGAGAGTAGGCTTACGCATTTGATTTCAGGTTCAGCGATAAACGTGGCCTTCATCGCAATGAGTTAGAAGTGAATTAAGAGCCGGTATAAAAGAAGGTCCCATTAAGAACAAAAATGATAAAAGAAGAGAACAGAGGAGAGCCCCGGGAGATTTGTGTAAGAATTCATTTGATAATACGATGATTTGTGCAGAAGAGGCAGGGCTCTAATTGAGGAGAAAGGAAAGAATAGGAATTGATACTATCTTCACTTTGTTACCGAGTGATTATGTGGCATTTCATCTTCACAACCTTAGCAAACTTAATTAAGTGTCAAATACGGTAAAAATCTAAATTGCGTGGGTAATCCAGGGAAACGTAGACTGTGAAGGCCTGGTGAGCAGTGGAGAAAATATATTAGAATCCCCCTGCCCTGAAGTAGCGTTGAAGTGGTTCTATTTGAAGATATTCTCCCCATCTCCTTCCTCCCCCCTTATTCCCTCTCTCCATCCCCCCTTTCCCCCTTTCCCTCTCTACCGTATGTACTTCCTTTCTCCCATACATTAATTTAAAAGCAAAAGCCTTGTTAGGATCTATTTCCCACACTATCTGCTGACTGTTTTCAGACAGAGAAATTGACAAAGTGTGATGAATGTAGATTTAAGGAGAGACTGAGAGATTCAGGCAGGAAGTGTGTTGGTTTTTGAGGTTCATCTTTTGCACTGGAAACATTTCAAAATGACTAGATCTGCAGCATAAGTGATGATAGTTTCCTGATTGTGATGTTTTTTAAAGGTTGTATGCCAGTTCCAGGCTTTTGATATTTCTGTTCCTCATCATGTAAATCCTTACATCAAAATTAACATATAACTGGAGAGTAGCAAAAGATACTTTCATATTCTACACCTATGAATGATAAACAAGACTTAAGAATCATGCTCGGTGATGGTACATGCCCACAGTCTCTGCTTTTGGGAGATTCAGGCAAGGGAATCAGGCGTTCAGGCTGCAAAATGAAACCCTGTCTCAAGAAAAGAAAAGAAAAAAAAAAAAAAAAAGAAGAAGACATTATAGGAGACATGTGTTTTTCACATAAAGATTTCCCTTATTCACCAATGATTAAAACAAAACGAACAAACATAGAACAAGGAATAGCTAACACCTGCCTTTAAGGACTGAGTTGTAAATACCCTTACTTCTAAGTGCTAGGATAATTTTATTCCCAGGTTGCACCTGTGTCTTCTGGAACGGTTCAGTAATGGAAGAAATGACACTTTCGTTCTTGTAATGAGACATCATTAGCCAGAGGCCCTTTGTAAGCGTGTAATTTTAAACTTCATTGCAAACATTCATTACTGGACTTGGGTGTCCACACTGGCGTTGTTCAGGAAGGCTGCTTCTGCACTGAGCCTTGCATTTTTTATGTGCCTGTTAGAATATTTATGAAGTGGCATTACCTGTAGAGGGCATCTGTCTTCAGAGCGCTTGGCTCATGGGGCTATGAAGTAGGGGGGCTTCACTGGCCTTACTTGAGTCGTTCCGGCTTGAAAAATAAAAGTACATGGTAAAATCTGAATTTCGTTTTGATTTAGTCCTTTTTCCTGGCAAGGTAAAGGAAATCCACATGTGCATTCCCGGGGTTTTCTTATTTTCTTTCTTTCTTTCTTTCTTTCTTTCTTTCTTTCTTTCTTTCTTTCTTTCTTTCTCTCTCTTTCTTTCTTCTTTCTCTCTCTTTCTCTGTGTCTTTCTTTCTTTCTTTTTTCTTTTTTTCTTTCTCTCTTTCTCTCCTTCCTTCCTTCCTTCCTTCCTTCCTTCCTTCCTTCCTTCCTTCCTTCCTTCCTTCCTTCCTTCCTTCCTTCCTTCCCTGTTTCTTTCTTTTCTTTTTCTTTCTCGGTGGCTGGCCTTGCTATTGGACCAGGCTGGCCTCAGGTTCTCAAAACTCTTCCACCTGCCTTTGCCTTCTGAGTTCTGGAATTAAAGGCCTGTGCTACCAGGCCTGGCTAGTGTTGTTTTTTAATCATCTGAGTGTGATGGCTAACCTTCTGAATTCTTCAGTGCATGTCATGTACACACAGCACTTGTCTGCCTTCTAAATAGTTGCATTTACAGGAAAATACATGCTGGACTAAGTCCATCTCGGCCTTGCAGGAAAACTAAACTCAAGATAATGAGAGGCCCTGGCCTCCCCATAAACATACTGAAATATGTTGTGGAAGTTAAGCCTGCCTGTGAGCTGCACAGTGGTTCTGTCCAGAATTTTATGTCTTATCTCAAACTCAGACATCAGGGTCCTGTGGGCGGGGAGAGATGCTGTTGGCCTGATCCTTTCTTTGACCGCATCCTCCGAGCCCTGACCCCTCACGCCTGGTACTGGGTTAGGTCTCCTAGCAGATCTGTTGGGTTTCTGTTCTGTTTGATGCGGAAGGTAGAGGTGCAGCCGTGAAGACGTGTACATGCGCTCGTGCCCACGCATGTGTAAAGGAGCATAATTTCTGTGTGATGATGTCAGACTGAAGTGCTGGCTCCTAAGGACGGTTGAGGACCATCGTTTCTAATGTTAATGTCCGTAGCATGTGTTTTCAGGTCTCATTTACTCTGCAATGGGAAAGCAGAACAGTGTTCTTCAAGCTCCTTTTCATCCCTTAGGCCTGTGTGCTTCCCCTGGGATTTCCCTCCTACCCCACCAGCTAGGTCCACTCCTTCCCGCACCGAAGGCCTGCTCAGCGATTCTGGGACACGAGTTCATGGGGAGTGAGCAAATAATGCCAGTACACTTAATCAGACGAGGCCTAAAGCAATACCACAAAACCAACAGGACGACAGGAACTAACACATACCTCTCAGTAATATTTACGTTAATATTCAATAATCTTTATAGTAATGATCTCCACAGATAAAGACGAGGAGGTAGGATTCATCTTTTCGTGCTTCTAGGGAAGCTGCTTCACCGCCAGTGATAGACACTCGAGGGTAGAAGGGCGGGAAAAGGTATTCCAAGCAAATGGAACTAAGGAAGAGGCGTGTGCAGTCGTCCTAATACCTGGCAAGATAGACTTCAACGCAAAACCAATCAGAAGAATTCAGGACGGCCACGTCATATTCATCACGGGAACAGTCCATCAAGAGGAAGTTACAACGTTAATGCACACACACCAAATGCACATACCCCGTGTTGGAAAACTAGAGCTAAGTCCACAGGTTAGGCACAAGAGATGATCGTAGGTGACTTCAGCAGCCCGTTGCCACCAATATACGGAGGAATAAAGCTGACGGCATCCCCAACAGGAACTGCAGAAAGTACACCTTATGTCTCACCGTGGCGTGATAACTGAGTCAGGGGAGAAATCAAGGTGGAAGTTAGAAAATTCCTAGGATTAAATGAAACTGAAAACACAACATAACAAAATCTGCAGGACCTAATGAAGGCAGCCCTAAGAGGAGTGCTTATAGCTCTGACTACCCACATAAACAAAACCCGACAGAGCTCAATTTAATAAGCAAATGGTACACTTGAAAGCTTTGGAAAAGCAGTAATAGATAAGACCCGAAAAGAGTAAACAGGAAGAGAGAATTAAATTCGTGTCTGGAATTAATGAAATGAATCGTCAAAGTGATGAAGACAGTAGAAAGTATCAATGAGATGAGGGCTTGGTTCTATGAAAACATTAACAAAATTGCCAAACCTTCAGCCAAATTAAACAAAGGACAGGGAAAGAAGACTCGGATTAGTAAAATTACAGGTGAAAAGAGAGACATCACAAGAGACTGAGGATATACAGAAAATCGTGCTGACATGCTTTAAAATGAGTTACTTTATTTTTACATATTTAGTATGAACATTGCATAATTATGTGTCTATATTTACAGGCACACACACCTAATTAAGGATACACTAAGTCTTTGCTCTCCGATTCTCTGATGTAATCGGATTGCTGTTCTCTTAACTATCTGAAAAAGTGAGGTAGAAGTAGTTGGGAAGTAAGGAGTGCCTTCTTTGTGTCCCATAGATTTTGGTCCGCTGTATTTTCATTTCCATCCCTGCCTGGATATTAACCTTACATCTCTGAGACCGGCTGTCTTTATGTTGCTCAGAAGTCCTGCCTGGATGTTAATCATACATCTTTTTATTGTCTCTGAGACCGGCTGTCTTTATGTTGCCCTGGGTGGCTTAGGGTCCTGCAGGAGACTGAGATTTGAGGTGAGTTCACCATGCCTGGCTTGGACGTTGACCTCAGCTGCCTGCTCTGTCTTTTCAGAGTGCGACAGGAGAACGACATGGTGGATTCGGCGCCTCAGTGGGAAGCTGTGTTAAGAAGACAGAAGGAGAAGAACCAAGTGGATCCAAACAACAGGCGTTCAAGACACAGATCTCGCTCGTACGTGGGTTCTTTTCCCGCTCTCCTTCAAACTCAGGGAGCGTGACGGAGAGGCTTGTTCTCCTAATGAGGCATCTTTTAGACTGGGAATATCCAGGTTTTTCATTTGTTGTTTTTCCCTTCTTACACGTGTGACATTCATTAACCACTTTTGAAGACTTAGAAATTGGAGCTCAGGCAGAACAAAATGGCATGGGGAACAAGGCCGTCAAAATCATATTTTGTGTGTTGAGTTGTTTTCCAGCAAATGTGCACATCCAACCAGGTAAATAAACAGGAGCGTTTCCTTTGTTCTGAAGCCTGGCTGCTGGCGAGACACCTGCTGATTTGCCCAATTTGAGTCTACGGAATTCTCTGAAGTCTCGTTCCAAATTGAACGGGACATGACCATCATTCTGTCAAGTTACCGTTTGGGAGCACTAGTCATGGAATGATTCATTACACCCCAATGTTGAGATTTGCCTGTCCCCCCCCACCCCCAGTTTCTAGGCAGTGACAATATGTGGGCACAATTCCCCCACAATAGTGAGGCCGCCTGTCCCTCAGGTTAATTTCCTGTGAGCAGATGACGTGGTGTGCCTTCGTGGTCGTGCATGTATGGTGTGTGCGTGTGCATGTCTGCTTGTGCGTGCATGAGTCTGGACATCAAGAGTCAGGCCACACCTCTGCCTGCTCCACTTGCCAAGAATGCCTCAAGTGAACCGGGACTAGCTGCAAAGCCGTCTGTGGTTTGGGGGATGGGTCAGCTGTAGTGTGTGGTGCTCCTCAGTCCTGGGAGGGGAGAGGGCGAATGTGCGATGCTGATGCAGCAGCCAGCAGAATCTCTGAGGGAGCCAGGCGGAAGCAGGCTGAGAATGCACCTTTAGGTTGACACACCAGGAGAGGGCGCTGGAGGCGACAGCATAGAGCCTGTGCTATGCCGTGGACACTGAGGTTTTGATTATAATTTTTTTTTTTTTTTTTAAGATGGGCTCTTAGGAGGCTCAGTGGTTAAGAGCGCGTGTTGCTCTTGCAGAGGACCCAGGGTACATTCCCAGCACCCGTCTGGTAGTTCTCAGCCATCTGTAACTCCAGTTCCAGGGCCCCAACGCCCTCTTCCGACCTCCTTCGACATTAGTCACACATGTGGTGCACAGACAAGCATGCTGGCAAAATGTAACCCATTAAAGCAAATGAAGCTAAAACAAACAACATAAGCCAGGGTCTGACTCCGTAGCCCTGACTGGTCTAGAACTTGCTACAGACGCTAGGTTGGCCTTGACCTCATAGGGCTCTGCCTACCTTTGACTTCCCAAGTGTTGGGATTAAAGGCCTGTGCCACCACACCTGGTATAGAACTTTTTTGTTGTTGTTGAGAAAGGATTTCAAGTAGCTCGGGCTGGCCTTTGGCATTACCTCTCCCCTCCCCTTGTTTTCTTTTTCTTTTTGAGATGGAGTTTTACTCGATAGCCCCGGCTGTCCTGGCCTGGGATGTGCTGTAGAGACTAGACTGGCCTGGAGCTCACGAGATCCACCTGTTTCTATTCCTGAGTTCTGGAAATAAAGGTGTATGCCTTCCTATACTGCTTAGGGTCTTAAATTTCTGGTCCTTCTGTCTCTATACCTCCCAAAAGTAAAGATCACAGGCAGCACTATCGTGTTAGCTTTGTTTATTTATTTTTTAATTTTTCATGTGGCACTATGGATTTTCAGGTTGTTGTTGGTTTTTTATTTTTTAATAACAAAGTTACACTATAATTTGGGATATGTTCTTTGTTTTTGGAGTTAATATGAAGTCATCATTTCTTCTTTAAATGTATTGTATAACGTTTCATTGAAATTGTTGCACAGATACAGCCCATGGCAGCTTAGAATCCAAGTGGGTTCCCTAGTAAAAGGGAACAGGTACTGTCTCTGACATGAACTCAGTGGCTAGCTCTTTGATCACTTCTCCGTGGTGTGTGTGTGGGGAACCTTGCCAGGCCACAGAGGAGGACAATGCAGCCAGTCCTGATGAGACCTGATAGGCTAGGGTCAAAGGGAAGGGGAGGAGGACCTCTCTTATCAGTGGACTCAGGGAAGGACATGGGAGGAGATGAGGGAGGGAGGGTGGGATTGGGAGAGGTCAAGGGAGGGGGCTACAGCTGAGATACAAAGTGAATAAACTATAATTGAAAAAAAAATTAAAGTAAAAAAACAAAGCAAAACAAAACAAAACAAAAAAAAAAAACAACAAAATTTGTTGCCCTGGTTGGGGCCGGGGCTGAATGTTTACAAGTTCTCTTTGTTATTGGCGGAATTGCAGTAAAGACCCACACAGATTGGCAAAGGAGCAAGGTAGCTTCATTCTTAGCAAAGTGATTGGTTAGGCCAGGCTGGCTGTCAAGAGTGGCAGTGGGCCGCACACAGGAAGGTGATGCAGAGCGCCAGGTACTCAGGGGCCTGGGGCTTCTTTCTACATGCTGCCTAAAGGAGGGGAATTTTGGTTACTACGAGTGTATTTTGCATAGTTCTCCATTTTGATTGGCAGGCTTGGCTTGGTAGACCTTTGATTGCACACATCCTTTCCCATAATGCATCTGATTTTAGCCATCCACCCGTCCAGTCACACATAGGCATAGGACGGAAAGAAGAGGGTTCTCCCACAAATTCACAGAGGGAGAAGTTTGCCCTGTGGTACGGGCACCCCAAACTAGTTCAAGCTGAATTGGCCATGTACTCAGGGACTCAGACGTAACTAGACTATGATTGACTAGATTCTGTCTGGGTTCAGTGGTTGATAGGGGATGAGAAAGTTACTTCATTGTTTAAAGTGGGGCGCGCATGTAGCTTGTTGGGTGTACTTGTATGTGTGTGTGTGTGTGCGTGCGCGTGTGCGCGTATGTGCATAGTACATGCAGTGAAGGGTATCAGGCAACCAACAGCATTGTTAGAGGGAGATATGCACAGCCCCATATGTGTATGTTTGTGTCCCTCCCCTCCCCAACAAGCATTAAACTGAACATGACAGGGTCCTATCTGTTAAACGTAATGAAGCTCGGTATTATCTAGTCTGTTTTTCAGTTCCATTTCTACGGCGCCTGTGTTTGCTTGCTGTGACATATACATAAGAAGGGTCAGCGACCGCCCCACGGAAACTGCCTTCCACAGGATTAAACCTTGTCTCCCTTTCAGTCGTGCAGAGGCATCCTTGCCCTCGCCCCTCAAACAATGGTTTTTGTGCGCAAGTGAGCTCCACCGCCCCCTGGTGGCCACGATGCGTTACTATTTTTACTGTCTGGAAAGAACTGATAAAGGGAGGGAGCAGTGAGGCTCGTAGGAGGAAACACAGAGACAGAATGATTGGCATTGGAATCACAAGACTCATTTACATGTGAAAAAGGAAGTCTTCCTGCTAAAAGTACAAACCGAAAGGCAGGAATAGGAAGCCGAAGTAACCGGAAGCCCCAACAGTCAGAAGAATGTCCGGCGCCGTCAGGTTTTGGTTGTTTGGTGTCTGGCCTGCGACGCTGAAACCTTGTGCAGGGTGTCACGTGCATTTGGCTGCTGTCGCTTTATCATTGCGCTCTGCTCCTTGTTATCAGGTTGCTAGCTAGCGTATGTGTGTTTAAATTACACTGCATTCCTTTCCAGTGCGTGTGTGTGTGTGTGTGTGTGTGTGTGT